CACGCGAGTGGGATGAGCCCGCTGTTCTACGTTACCCATCGGCTGCTCGTCAAGCTGACGTGCACGTATGATCTGGACGTGGGCGAGAGCAAGAGCGATGACGGAGAGCCAGCGCGGGCGACAGAGGTGCTGCAGATGAGCATCCCGCTGCGCTTTGCTCGCGTACAATGCGATCCTGCCCCGGCTTTCGTTCCTACCAGTGCACAAGTGGTGGACGGCGTGCGGGCCCAGGGTCCTTTGGCTGCAGCGCTGTTCGCGAAGGCGAGCCTGCCATACGCGCAAACACTCCCAGCGTACTCCCAGCTGTTCGATGCGAACGGCGATCGCAAGATTGACTACTCGGTGCCCCTCCCCGCATATAGCCCTACGTCCCCAGCTTCTTCGATTGCAAGCGTTGACTTGCTCCTTCCTCCAACTGCTTCGTTCCACGACTGAACCGAAGATGTGCTTCCTGGCTACTCTGTAGTATGATATCGACTGAATACCCCGACTCGACTGTCTAGCTTCGACCTTCAGGCACTCGAATCATCTTTCTCGCATCCTCATCGCTCTTAGTATATACATCGCTTGCTCTCGATGCGCCAGCACTATGGCCCTCCGATTCTCCTGTTCATACCTGGGACCTGTAGCATCACCCGTCTTGGTACTCTGTAGCCATACTCACCCGTTTGATGACCGAAATGATACATCTTTTATGTTGTGATATCATGTGTTACATATCTGTGATCCAAGCCTAGGTTGTACTGCAAGCGTGAAGATCTACCTGAGCTTCACTTTATCGAGCACCTCCCAGGTAGGCACAGGCCCGTTGCACTGCATGATCCAGATCTCTTCGCCATCTATTCCTTCAAGCACATCGTCCGCGCTGCCCGTGTTCCCGGGGTCCTCTGAACAGTCCAGAGCGATGCCGTTCGCGCGCTCAATGATGCGGCCCTTGTTCTTTAGTTCCTCCCTCACCTTCGCGCGCTCGCCCGCATCAGCGTTGTCGATATAATACAAGGACACGTGTGGGATCGGTGGAACCGCGGCGTCGCCAAGCCGTGCGCGGAGGTGTTGTCGTAGATCTGCGAGCGCATCCACGTCGTGCACGCGCGCGTAGACGGACATGAAGTACTTGTCGCCGACGTCGATCGAGCGGAACCTCGGTCTGATGACGGCTTGGTTGGCGGGGATGGCCTCTTTGAGATTGGTGGCGGTTGGGGTCGTCGCGAGAGTGATGTGGGGCTGAAAGTCAGGGAAGGAGGACGGGGAATTGGGAGATCTCTGCTTGATCGCCATGACGCGCTTGAGAAGAGCAGTCTGTTCAGGTGTGGGGATGAGCCATAGTGAGATACCTGGGGGGTGTTAGGCAGGTTGTCGTGCGCAACAGGCCGTGGGCGTACCCATGATGGTGTGCGAGAGGGTAGAAGGTGAGTCCACACGTCGGCCGTATTTGGGCCCGTGGACCTACAGGAACAAACACAAGCGGCCGCAATATTGGTCCAGGCGACGTTGCTTTTGTGCTCTTATCTAAACATCTTCTACTACGTATTCTCACTCCCTCTTGTGCACCTCAATCTGGTGTTATTTGAAGAACAACACGCCTGGGACCAGCAGCACGGCATTCGCCTGGCATGGCGACGATCGAAGACGTGAAGCTCGACTCTATGCACACGCTAGACAATCCGACATAACTACAACGCCCGACAATAGAGTCTGGTCTAATCTGTGCTACATATGTCTGGTAGTGAGCTCTCAGACTTGAAAATTCCTCATCGCTGACGTCAACATCGCCATGAGCCCCATTCGCAGCACTAGAAGGTGAGCAACCTAACCAGCTGTCATGCTACGTACTGATAGACTTCTTTGTCTGAAGTCCGTTGAGAGATTCAGCCTCACCCAAACCATATTGTGCCCAAACTAGTCGAAGGACCGTTTCTCGACCCAAAATACAGCCAAAAGTCATATTGTGAGCCCCACACCGGTATGACCAGGACCGTATTCTCACAGCAGGTTCAGGAAAGAAGTAACCGAGTATGATCGCCGAAGAAAGCATGCACGAGTACTTTGCGGACATCATCGCCCACTGCGATGCCTGGCTAGAAGCCTACAAAAACGGGCACGCCGTCCCACCAAATCCCCGCCAACACTCAGCGAGCTGGTGTCAACATCGCACGGCCCTCGACGATGCACTTGCACGCCTCGCAGAGGCAGGCGTAACCTATGACCCGAGCTGCGGTCCGCCGGACACACGCTCCGTACCCATACTACACGCATTGAGCGAAGCGAATGAGGCCCGTTTCCATTGGCTCGCGTTACAGCCGGAGCAACGCGACGAGGCGTTGTTCGCTCGATACGAAGTCGACGGGCAGAAAATGCACTATACGAAACACCTCCTTGCACTGCGGGAGGCGGAGGATCAGCACCAGCAAGAGGTGCGACGTGCCGTGGCACTGAAAATGCAGAAACCCTGTGCAAATGAGCAGGAGGGGCCGCTGAAGGGGGATACGCGACCGGGAGCTCCGAAGAGTCTCAGAGGGGTCGTGCGAGCCCTCGTTTGGCTCAATCGTAGACTATATGCCGTCCTCCGGAATGAGGAACAACAGAAGGCAGCGTGGCGCCGACGAATGTGGCGGAAAGTGGGCCACACCGTGATCTGGCTGCAAAAGCTACACTCGCAGGCCGGCCTTCACATACCCATCCGAGCCGAGATCGACACATGACGATACAGCACGGAGGATGAGAGGGGGAGGTAGACCGCCAATATATTATACACACTAATTCCGTACACCGTGCGTTGTACAACAAACTATTGAGCAGGAAGCACACTATTAATTACAATGGGTGACTCAATCAACGAGCGAGACTCCTCTACTTATGACGGCAATGATACAGTCCAAACAGCCCAAGCTCGGCGATGCGAGCAACAGATTCACTCGTCCTTGACGCTGATCCATGACTCACCCACGCCAGACCCAGCATTGCTCTCGACGTCTGCCTCCGATCCCGGCTCAGACGCAATTTCATGTTGTTCGGGATCTATCGCGTGCTCCTGAGCCGCCTTCTCCAACTCTGGAGTGGATGCCAGAGATGCATGGTTTGAAGGATGGACTGGGGGTATGTAGACTGACTGAGGTAGGATGATGTGGGGCTGTATGGGAAGGAGCGCATTACGGATAGAGATCAGGGCATGTGGAAGGTTCAGGATGGCGTCTAAGAGTGCGCCAGGAAGGTAAGAAGCCAGAGCATAGGTCCTCGCTGCAAGCGGTGCGTCAAAGATGATGTATGTCAAACAGTAGTATCTACTTGCCTCCAGCACCAACGACGACTCTGTCTCCACGGACAAAGTCGCGAAGTCGACCTAATCCCAGGCTGAGCAGGGCAACGACAGGATGCTTTGAGGTCCTCCGTCCGCCACCCCCTACGATGTTCACGATGGTCGTCACAAAGACCGAGACATCCGTCGGTCTCCTGCGTGCACCGTAATGTGCATCCTCCTGGATGACAGCTTCGAACGCTGTCCCATACGCTACCTTCTCGCTCGGCGTCCACAGCTCCACACCCCTGCGGACATCCGGAACAGGCTCACCGGCCGTAGCCGGCCCGCCGACTGCGCCCACATCGACCACGACGACCTTGATGTTCCTCATGCTAGCACTTGCGTCCGTGAGCGCGGCCATCTTGACCTCTCTCCGAAGCACCTCAACCGCACGGAGCGTCGCAGCTGCGCTCATCGCTTGCGCGCCTGCGAATGGGAGGCCGACACGCGCGTCGATAGCGGGCAGGCACACGACTATGCTCTTCTTGCTGAGGTGATTCGTGAGGGCGTCACGGGACCGCGCGGGATTGGCGCGGAGAAGGGGCAGCATGGCCTGGATGACTTGCAGCGGCGTGATGTGCGTCGCGGTGAGGTAGGCGGTGTACGTGTCCTGCAACCCAAGGTGTTCGATGGGCGCGGGCGGAGGGGCGAAGAGGGGAGAGGGGAGTGTGAGGAGGGAGATGACGGAGTGTACATAGAGGTGGGCGGAGGGTACAGCGTGCGGGTCGCCGGAAGCTGTGGTAGGGAAGCGGCGGGATAGCGTGGAGGATAACGAACGCAAGAAATAAGGGATTGTTCCAGGCTTCAGAGGAGATGCATCAAGCAAGGTTGGTTGTCCTACAAACAAGAGAGCTCACCTCTGAGGGATCGAGCACCAATGCGCGCACATAGCCATGAGTGTTGCGCTCAATCTCTGAGACTGCCTCCGGAGTCGAGACGCTAGTGATGACCACAAAGCCCTTCTGCTCGAGCTCGAGGATGAGAGGCAGTCCAGACGGCGCGTCACCACCGAGGACCACTGCGATGGCAGATCAGGACAGTGGTGGGCATCAGGGTTCAAGTGGTACTCACCGACGACTTGTCTGCGGTCGGGACTAGCCGATGCCCTCAGTCTGACCGTCGTCGAGCCTGCTTGATAATACGCATAACCAACGAGCAGGCTTGTACCGACTGCCCCGACAGTGATCCCAGCTGTAGTCCAGGGATGGTCGGCTACCCAGTTGGCGGTATGCCGCAAAAACGACTGCGCAGGTGGGGGTGGAGGGGGAGGCGGGGGTGGAGGCACTTCGAAGGCACCTAGCCCGGGGATATGGAGATCGGGAAGAGGAGGAAGAGACTGAGGACCAAAGCGCGAGACATCCTCCCACAAACGATGGATCGCTTCGTTGACCCGAGGTAGATCTGGAGTCGCCGCCTGCAGGGAGGAAAACAGTAGCTCCTCTAGCGACCCCATGTAGTCTTCAATCTGCTCAATCGTCGGAAAGACACCCGACATTGTGATGATGGCGTTCGACGTTGAGAGGACAGCAGCAGCCCACGACCAACTCGCGGCAAGGATAGGGAGCTGAAGCCCGCTACATACGCAAGCGCGCTCCGGCACCATGCGCTGGGCGTCTATGCCAACCAGAAGTGGTAATATACTGAGCACGCACATCTTCCGAGCGCTTTTCAGTTTAAAAAGCGAGCTTTCGTAGCCCAAAAACGACGCCAGCAGGACTCGAACCTGCGCCCTCATAGAGGAACAGATCGACTCGATTCGATTAAGCCCGATTCAATTCTAATCTGTCGCCGTAACCACTTGGCTATAGCGCCTTGAAAGACTGTTCGCCTTACCTCTGTATACCTTGGGATGACTCGCTGAGGATGCATACCAGCGAGACCCGCCGACGATTGAAATGCTTGCGCACGATCGACATGTGGGCGATGTGGCAAAGATGATAGCAAAAGAAGTGAGGGAGAAGACGAATCCATCAGAGCGGCCGGTCGCGACCGATTTGTCCACATAAGGCCCAACAAGTGAGCGCCTATCCGTGATTAAGAGGCAACGGCCAGTGCCCGTTACCCACCGTCTCTTCGTCGTCGTCGTTCCACCCAGTGAGCTCGCATCCGTCGTCGCCGTCCCCATCAGCATCCAAGGTATGTCTCTCGCACATCGCGCAGTGCCTCCTCCCCTCCCACGTTCCCCTCACCATCCCCACTGCCTTCCCTTCAGAGCCTCCATCGCCCGACTTCCTGTCCCAAGCCCCTCCCTGCCTTCCTCCCTCACAAGCCCCCTCACCGCCCCTGCGGCCGCTGAGAGACACTGAATCCTACATTCACCATGCCAGAAGCTGACAACACCCGCAAGCGCTCCCGCTCCCCTTCCGACGCGCTCAACGACCAGCAGAAGCAGTACAAGCGTGCCAACACAGGCGCTCCCACATCCTCCGATGACTCACACTATGGCTCCTCCCGCATGGCCCACCAAGGTGACATTGACATGAAGCACGTCCCTGCGGACACCGCCGCCTCGACGCCCTCGCCTACCGACAGGAACCCCTCCGACATGGCCTCCGAGATCAAACGCCAGGATACCGGCTCGGCCACCACGTCGGCACCAAGCAACTCGTCCGCGCCCGCCGCGCCTCCCGCCGCCAACATTCACATGCGATGCCTAATTGTTACCCAGGATGCCTCCATCATTATCGGAAAAGGCGGCGCGCACGTGAATGAAATCCGAGAGAAAAGCGGGGCCCGAGTTATGGTCTCGGAGAGCATTCCTGGCAACCCAGAGCGCATTCTGAACGTCAGTGGTCCGCTTGATGCAGTGTCGAAGGTGAGCTGCGATCTTGTGCGGTCTTGCAGGGCATTATTCACTGAAGGTTTCGCAGGCATTCGGGCTGATCGTCCGGCGAATTAATGACGAGCCCTTTGACAAAGCCTCGGTTCCTGGCAGTCGGGCAGTCACCATCAAGTTCATGATTCCCAACTCACGTATGGGTTCGGTGATCGGCAAGGGCGGAACGAAGATCAAGGAGATCCAGGATGCGAGTGGTGCCCGCCTCAACGCGAGCGAAGGCATGCTCCCCGGGTCTACCGAGGTATGTCTTACTTTCTTCCCGCGACGCGTTCGGCCTAATATATGTGCACTCCAGCGGGTTCTTAGCGTCTCAGGCGTCGCCGATGCTATTCACATCGCCACCTACTACATTGGAAACATACTCATTGAGGCCAACGAGCGCATGCCGTCCTCGAACAACTCGTCCTACCGGCCTTCCAGCTATTCACGCCGGCCTCCATCGTACCAGGGCTCGTCATACGTGCCCGGTTACTCGAACCCGTATGCAGGGGCAGCAGCAGGTAGTTCTCATAGCGCGGCGCCGCAGCAGTTGCAGACGCAGCAGATCTATATCCCGAACGACCTCGTTGGGTGCATCATTGGCAAGGGTGGCGCGAAGATCAACGAGATCCGGCATATGAGCGCAAGCCAGATTAAGATCATGGAGCCGGGCGCAGTGGGCGTAGGCATGAACGGAGCACCTGCCCCTGCGGGCGGCGAGGGCGAACGCCTCGTTGTCATTACAGGCCAGCCCACCAACATCCAGATGGCAGTGCAATTGCTATACCACGTCAGTGCATCCGGAATTCGTGCAGGGGTGTAGATACTGACACAGTATTTGCTCAGCGACTCGAGCAAGAAAAGCAGAAGCAGCTCCGAGCGCAGCAACCACAGGGTGCCTAAACTGCGACGATTTCCGCCCCATCGAGCATCCTGGCTCGTCTAGGGTCGCCGCTCTCACCGTCGCCTTCGTTCTTGATGTCTTTATTGTTTGCAGGCTCCGTATACCAGTGCATTCGTGTCTGGTCAGTGTATGCGCCCCCACTTAGTGCTGGACTATGCGTGTCGTGTCGTCCTGTCGTCTGTTGCTTTCGTGTTCCGCCCATGCTCCCTTTCCCCTGCCTTAGCCGTCCCGCGTCAGTGTATGTCTCGTCTGGTGGTCTTTTTAGGCTGTCCCCTGTGAATAGGTACTTTAGCATCACAATCAATGCATATGTCGAGTGTGTGTAGGTTGTCTGCTAAGTCGTCCTACAGACCTAGTAGTGGAGGGAAGGTTCTCGTCGGACTAGAACTACAATGACGTGCATACATAAATCAGCTGGAGCTTGGAGGACGAAGCCTCTGTGACCGGTGTCGTCCAATGAATGCACCGTCGCTTCCGGGGTAAAAAGGTAAATGTGTGCGTGTCGTCGCCTGTACGCAATCGCCCAACCTCTCAGTCTTCAAGTTGATCCTGCAGCTCGTCAACGCGAGCAATGAGCATAGCGAACTCTGCATCTCCCGCCACACGCTCCTCTGTGGCCTTCTGATTTATCATCAGTCAACATACCATCGGGATCTCAAGGTGACGTACTTTGCGTATGTCGCCGAGCAGAGCGGTGACATGCGACAGGATTGTCTACGAACGTTTCAGGAGTGGTCCCATCCAGTGGGATATAACATACTCGTATGTCTGGCACTCCAACGTCCTCCAATGCGGAGACGAGGTCATCCGTCCTGCAACACTGTCTAGTAGATCAACACAGGGCGAGAGCGAGGACACGCGCACACCTGTCTAGCGCGGTTTCCAAGGCTGACGACTCTAGCACAGAGCGGTCTTCCAGGACGTCGTAGCACGCATCGATCGCACTCATGCCCGCCGTCCGCAGCGCAGGCTGTCTAGTCCACTTGTCCCGTCCATCGCACGCACACGCGCCGTTTCGCGATCGGGAGGTAGAGGGCTCAGGGCTGGGGCTGGTCGAGCGCGGGGGCGTACGCACGTAGTCTGGATAGAGGCGGACGAGCGCGTCGAAGTCGTAGGGTCCCCTGCGGCAAATCGCGCACGGATCAACGCCGGACCCGAAGTGGCGCGTAGCACAATCGGCACAGTAGAGGTGTCCGCAGGTGGTCGCCATCGGTGCGGTCGTGTCGTCGAGCGTCTCGAGGCAAATGCTGCAGCGTGCGCGCATAGGTGTGGTGGCGAAGGTGGGGGTGGGATGCACAGAGGATGAAGAGGTATACGGAGGCTAGAGGGTGCGTTATGGGTGGAAGGATGCAGTGCAATCTAGCGCAATGCGGGGAGAGGCCCCCATTCATTGATTGCAGCGTGTTGAGCGGAAGCTTATCTTGGCAAGGCTCACCGGTGAACTTTTGGGGTCAGGCGCCCTAAGGAAGCTGGATAAAGTTTATGGTGGACGCGCATACGCATACCAAGATCGCCGTTCCTATTCACAGTGAGCATATATATGTACATCAATACGTAGTCGTGTCCACTTACCAGAGCATGCTACCTACCTCCCCGAGGATGGATAGACATCACACAAGGAATACTTCACCTAGATATCGATTCACGCGCCGGATCATGGGACTGCGAAAACGCTGCGATTGAACCCCCCAGTACCTCACCCTCAGAGCCCGGGCTAGGAAAGGGGGACATTGCTCTTATCTGTATGTAAAACGGTGGCCACACTGTACGCGTATGGCCTCCGAATCACAAGTAGATGTGCACCTGTAAATTATGTGAGCTTTCTACACACAGCATGAACCTGGGCAGATCCCGGACACACCGTTGAAACTATGTGACATCGCCCCACTTGAGCAGTCACCTTTACTTCTTCCGAACTGATCCTCGGACATATAAGACAACCTGTCGCTATTGCTGCGACATCCATACATTAGTATATAGAAGGTACTGTGTGCAAACGAGTGTGGGGAAAGCGATGTGAGTGAGGGGGTATGTTCCGGGATGAATAAAGATGGTAGACCACAGCGCGTCATATAACTGTCTGTAAACCTCAGATGAATTCAAGGGACTCATCGCCGCCAAAGAACACATCTTGGATGCCCGCCTCCATCATCTGATGCTTCTTCTTGAGGCTGTGATGCTATCCACCACTCCGTGAGCATCGCGCGGTAGCAGACAGGAACATGATAATCACGCACCTTCTTCTTGTACCGGGACGCCTGTGCCTCCCACTTCCTCGCCTCCGCGTCGAGCTCGGTGATGACGACGCGGCTCTGGTCGACCTTCGCGCGCTCAATGTTGAGTAGGCTCGTCGTGCGCCCGAGCTCCTCCTGCAGCTCCGCCGTGCGGGCGGCCCACTCCCGGCGTAGCTCAGCGAGCTCTTCCGTGGCTGTCTCACGCTCGGCGTCGCGCGAACGTTGCAAGTCTCGGATGCGCTCAGTGAGGCGACGCGCCGCATGCTGGAGGTGGTCGCGTTGTGACTCTAGATCTGGGAGACGGGCTACTTGTGCTGCTTTCTGGACATGAGATGTTAGGATGTTCAATGGTACCGAGGTAATAATACATGGCGGACCGAGCGGATGTCTTGAAGGAGGGTTATGATGTTCGACAGCAGGTTCTGGCAGCCTTCCATCAGCATTGAATTCCGGTGGTATGGGAGAGTGACATACCTGGGTACCATGTCCCTCGGTATCGTCCAGAGAGGCTACAAGATCATCCGTCCTGCAAGGTGCCACCGTCGACACAGAACCACGTCATTAGCGGGGGGGGGGGGGGGCAGCTCACCTCTCGAGCGCGGCCTGCAGCGTATGCTGGTCGAGCGGATCCCCACTGTCCATAGCATCATGACACGCACGCAGTGCGCTCATACCGGCCTCCACGGCTCTACCGTTCTGGGGCGCATCCCTCCGCGTCGACGACTCAGGCCGCTCCTCGGATGCCCGCTCATAGTCGGGGAAAAGCTTGATGAGCGCATCGAGCTCGTACGGACCTGTGCGACAGATCGCGCACACCCCGCCGTTAGCAAATTGGTACGTCGCGCACTCGACGCAG